CGACGCGTTTCAGAAAGGCGGGGCATAGAGGAGAAACAATAATGTACAGTATGTGGAAAATAATGTTTTTTTTTTTACTTTAAACCACATAAACACTTTTCATTACACCAAATACACAAAATAATGTTCTTTTTAGCAACATCATATGACCCCTTTAAGTTTCCTGAGAGATGAAAGGGAAACTCATAAGCAACACATATTCCTCTGGGCATGTCTAATTTTTCTTAAAGAAATCAAAGTTCTTATTTTTTGTTTAAGAGTTTCAGAAATTCTGACTCTCACCTTCCACAGACACAACCACATACTTCTCATCATTTGTTTTATCATCAGCAGCGTAGCACCTGTATCTGCCTTCATCTTGGAGTCTGATGTTTCTTATCAAGAGTGATACATTTCCATTTTTAATTTCAGATTCCGACAACAGTGATGTTCTCCCCTTGTAGTCCTCGTGCTGATGGCCCAGCTGGTCTTGATTGAGGTAGAATGAATGCACTGCTTTTTTATCCTTGTACCAGTGGATGATATCAAGGTGGGTGGATGTGCAAGGTAACATACATTCCTCAGAATAGATACAGGTGACACGAGTGTCTGTAAAAACAGCAAATTACAGTGTGAAAAACAACACACAAACATACAGTAACATGTTAAGACTACAAGTGTCTACTGTATACATCCAGCCAGCATTCACACTTCCCTGTACTGTCATGTGTGTTGTAAGTAATTTTATATAAATAAAATCACAAATTTTGCAAAATACCTTTGGATTAATAGAACATGTGATTCCAACAAGTCTGCAATCATTTACTTATGTATCAAAGGTCAAATCGGAGTAAAGCTCTATTATACTGATGTGTTTACCTTTAGTTGAATGTGGTTTAAATAGTCAAAACTGTTACTAACTCACTTTTCTTGATGTAGGATCAAAATATTAGTAAAAATATTTTTTGTTATTGACCTAAAAATGTAGGTATTTAGTATTAAATCTGAGAACAGTAACAATTATATTGATCTCTGCAAGAAATACAAAAACAGTTCAAGCATGGACATTAATGTAATATAAATTTAAAACACATTTTTACAATTAAAGGTAATTACAATTTAAATTACACTTTAAATTTTATATTACAATTGAACATGTAATTATGAATAAAATCTTGAAGGTGCTCATGTGACTGTATGTGTGTAGTTTTTGAGGTTAAGTTTATGAGTTGAGAGTTTTTGAGGCACATATCAGGCATGTAAACAGATGTCAGTAGATATTTTAGTTTCTTACCTCCTAAAGTTACAGGCAGAATCCACAGCAAGAAAAACAGCTTCATAGTCCCATAGTTTAAAATGATTTAAATGTAAAATGTAGTCTGTCGACCAACTACTCTCTGTTTTAAATACCTTCTATTACTAATCTGTTTATCCGCATTGTAATACACCCTCTGTGGAGATGAACAGGCTATACAAGTCTTACTAAGTCTAAACTGGTCTTACATAGAGCCCTCCCACTTAGGTTATGAATACAAAGTTAAATTTTAACTAATTCCATGAATATCAGGGTAATCTGTATATGCTGTAGTTTGTAAATGGCACAAATGGCTGTGGGTTACGGAATCAAATTGCCCTAAATAAATGGAAATCGAGATTATATTGTACAATCAGACAGTAGTCTATTGACAGGTATCTGTGAGATGACATTACATCATACCTTGTGCACAAACGTCACAAACATCACAAATGTAAAGAACTTGCTGCCTCTAACTGGTTTTTAGAAGCCTGACAGGAGTCATACTGAAATTGCATTATGTAATTCTTTTACCTTGACAGGTCTACATAACCATAATTTACTTTTTCTTGTTATTTATGACCGAAAACAAAACAGCTGAGATTTTAGCACACAAGAAACATTTTAACTGCCAATGATTTTAAATAAAATATTAAGATTGAGATGGGAAGAGCTAGATACAGTAATAATAGATATAACATTTCACATAAAAATAGTTTCAATTAATGAAACGTGATACTTAATAATGAATAAACTTAACAGAAATGACATTTACATTTGAGACATTTAGTAGAGGTTCTCATGCAGACAGACATACAAAACTCTTAAGTTTTCATGTGTGAGTTCAACAGAGAGTATGCATACAATTCAAAACATTATTTGAGTGAACATAAACAAATAAACAATTCACCACAATTAGTAAAAGTTAAGAGAAATTCAACACTGGATTGTTTTGTCATAAGTATTTACACATATTTATTTAATCATAATGAAATGTGATGTGACATGTAGCCAAGTATGGTAATACTCGTAATTTGTGCTCTGATTTAACCCACCCAAGTGCACACACACAGCAGTGAGTAGTGAACACTCACACTGTGAACACACACCCAGAGCAGCCATTTTTTCTGCTGTGCCCGGGAAGCAATTGGGTATTAGGTGCCTTGCTCAAAGAAATCTCAGTCGTTAAAGAGAGAAGATGATGTACATTCATAATAATACCAATACTACTAATAATACAAAAAATAAATATAAATCCTGCCCCTCCATTTATCCTGAAATGTTTTAAAGGAACTCTTGGAAGATGGTTCAGACAACTGCATATACTGTTTTAAACACTTTTCCCACATGTATTCTCATTTTGGTCTGTTGGTGATCACAGGTGTCTTCAGCTCTGCTTTTTGCATCAGTCACTGTAAAGGATAGAGAGATTTGTGAATGCGATGCAGTGAGATGAGGTGTTTTTTATTATGGAACTGTTACCACACACAAATCTCTGACTGGTTGCATCTCTCGAAACCTCTTTTGGGATTACACATTTTTCTAAAAAGTCTTAGATGTGCTGATCCTACATCCTGACCTACCATTACATGAAAAACTAGGTGAAGTACATGCATTTAAGGTTAGGATGATGATGACAAAGTTTCTAGCATGAGGTTTCTGCCGGTTCATGTTCTCTTTATTCTAAGTCAAATGAGACAGATTACTGAGACTCTCACCTTTTGTCTTAATGGATTTTGGTGCCCCTGCCCTATATTTGAAGCTGTGGCAAGTTTATGATCATAATAATCTGAGGAGTGGACTAACATTTATTTCTGTGAGGTATCTGCATGGTACAATTATGCTGATTGGATTAGTCTGGACAGGCTCCAAATAACTGTTTACATCCTTTGCATTCTTTAAGTTTGTGACCTGAGTGCTGTGTCTTCATTTGTAAGGTCTGCCTTTTAAAATGTATATAAACTACAATTTATCCATTAAGATACCCAAGAGTCCCCCGATCTTCCTCTCTGAGTTTACAACAGTTTTGGTGCCGTGATCGACATGCATTAACCTATTAACTAGGTTATTCTCTGCTTTGACAGAGACATTACTGTTGTATCCTCTGGACGGTTAACAACAGTTGTTCTGTTTTAAAAGGTTATCCTCCACTTGTCAGGGAGGTATTGGAAGTATCCTGTTGTGTTAGAAATACATTACAAAATGTTTAGAAGGAATGCTTATTCCAACAACTGAGAAAGGTGGACCAGCTACCCCTTCATGGACAGACAGTGAGTTCAAATCATTGTTAGGAGAACACATACTTTTTTTGCATTCTTGTCCATACCTTTTCTGAATGAATGGCAAATTTCATTGTCAAATCTAGTCTTACTGACTCTGTCACTATGGGGTCCATGTGTTCAGGGCTGTCCTTTGGCCCCGCGTCAGCTAAAGACGGCCCTGAACACATGGACCCCATAGTGACAGAGTCAGTAAGACTAGATTTGACAATGAAATTTGCCATTCATTCAGAAAAGGTATGGACAAGAATGCAAAGAAAGTACTTGGAGCATGTATTCTGAAGGACAACATAAAAGGGATTATCTGCTGCCACAGAGAATTTAGTTCATCAATAGCACAAGAACAAGCTCAATGTATTGCTAAGCTAAAGGAACAAAACCAACAACTCAAATGTCCTCTCTTACTAAAACAAAGGTTCAACTAAATGCAACTTAAATGACCAATAGTAAGATGAAACATATCCTGACTTACAGTTTTTATGTAGAGTAGAGGACAACAGCAATAGTTTGCACATGGTTTGATGGCCTTTTATCAGAATGTAAAAATGCACTGCCTTTCTTAGACCTTACATGGTCCAACAGAACTTGTTAGCTACTTGGGAGAGGGACTCTGATGTTAAGTGAAGAGTAAAGATTGCAGAAGCATCCTTTAAGGTAAACACATGCAGAGAACCATTGAAAATGTAAATGTCCTAAGAGGGGAGGCAGTTGTCATTACTGTGGTAAACCTGGACATTGGACGAAACAAAAAGACCTTAAGAGAACTGAAACAGCCTTTCACGGGTCCTACTCAGTCTACTTACTACTCTGAATCAGCCCCTCCCCACGTCACCGAACTGTTGGAGCAGCTTGCTGCGGTATTAACTGTTAGGGCTGTGAGTGCTTAAAGGCAGAGTAAGCGATTTCTGGTAGCCAATGTTGATATTTGAAATCACCAAAACAAACACGCCCCTACCCCAAAAGGGTCTTGCCCTTATTTTGATAGTTCCGCCCCACATATACGTACGCAACCCAGGCAACGATTAGTTCTGTGAAACAAAGCAAAACCAATGTTACACCATGTCTACGGACGTGAGCGGCGCGGCGCAACAAATCCCAGACAGAAAACTGCTGCCGGGTTCTATTTATGACATGCTGACACAAATTTCAAATGGTTTTCAACGGTCGTTTGATCGCGTCCAGTGTAAGCAGACTTTAGCTGTTGTAGACACGGTGTTACTCAACTATTGAGAAGAAACAAAGCAACCTCAGCGTCCGATCGCAGGCCTCCGCTCCTTGAGTTCTCTCCAGCGCTGGAAAGCTGATCCGATATTTACACGGGTCCTACTTCTTGCCTTATCCTTCCGCAGACGTTTTCCTCTTTTGTTTTTTATCCGCCATCCCTATCTTTCTGTCGCTCAGCTCGGCTAATGTCCGTCCCATGCACTGAAAGCTCTCTCCTCCACATCACGAGTAGACACGCCCCTTATTGCTGATTGGCTACAAGTTTGTTTTGCGATTCGGCCCGAATCAGTTTTCTAAAGTGGTTTTGAAAAATCACTTACTCTGCCTTTAAACATTCAATTAAGGCTTTAGTGATTGATTACTACTTCATGGAATAAAAATTCAAGGCAATGTATCATGGTGTACAGAACTTCTTTGTGTTAGTTTAAGTTGTCTTGCAACCACTAGGGCGCAGTGTTGTCTGAGGAAGTGGAAAACTTTAGAGCATAAATTGAAAGCGCAATTATCTTGGAATAGAAACACACACAGTGGCCACAAAAAGTATTTGGACGTGTAAGTCACATTTAAAATATATCAGTTTTATTGATAAAGTGATAAGGTATCAAACCAAGTGGCATTTCTTTTAAAGATATCATACTTTTCAGGCAAAACATTTCATTAAAACAAGTTTGTTAACATTTATTATGATAAAATAATTGCTATACTGTTTAAAAATGCATTTGGACACCTTGCTTACAAACTTAGTGCAACACGTCCATAGTTAATAGTTTGCAGATGCTGTTTGGTTTGATAATTTAATTGTGACTCGATGTCCCAACACTTTTTAGGTACATTGTACATACTGTACGTACAAACATGCTGGGAGATTCATAAAAGTCAACCTTAATCTGCATCAGAGAAGTGGATATTTGGTGTTAAGATTCCAATATAGTGGAAATATGATCACCAGCCTGAATGGCAAGACTAACAAATGATGTAAAGATCTACAGTTGTTTACAAACCTTTGTTGAACTAAAATTAATTTTTGTCAAGGCCCTGTTTCTCTCTCTCTCTCTCTCTCTACTATCCAGTTGGTAGTTTGCAAGAACAATAAATCATTGACAAATGTGAACTCTATTCTTAGCGTTGTATTACAGTTGGCCCTAACTAGTTCTTTCCTAACACTGTTGGACAAAGCTGAATGCATTGTTTCTGATCAGTGAAAGGGATCTTTGATCAGGCCAAGGCTTAATTGAAGATGATAAAGGCAGTAAGCAGGCATGCTCAGTGAGGCCAGATGTGCCTGTAATAGTCCCCAAAGCTTTGCACACGCACAATGATCGCAATATAATTGTGTTTTCCCTTTTGGAGAGTTTGGCCAAGCGATGTAAGTAGAGGAAGTCTTCAATCACTCAGCAGTGAAGCTGTTCCTCAATACAAGAAAAAAGAAGAATCATTACACCTCTCAGTCTGTTTATGAAGTCCTGCTGTGATCTGTCAGCTTTGGCGTGATGGAACTTTAAATATTTTTTTTCTGCTTATAAAATAATATTAGTAAAAAATAATAATGCTCATCATCATTAGTCATAGTCATTTGTTCAAAATGTAAAATGTAATGGAATGTTTTGGGCTCTGCTGAACTCCGGCATCAAGTGTATTTTAAATCAGAGAACTAAGAGTGATAACTGTAAGTCATTTCAGGCAGGCACTTAAAGGGGTCATCGGATGCTACATGCACTTTTACAAGTTGTTTGAACTGAAATGTGTGTTGGCAGTGTGTGTACACAACCACCATATAATGATAAAAATCCACCCAGTGATTTTTTTTTTATCTACTAAAATCTTTACCCCTTTCTCAAATCGAGCCCCTCCCACGATAGTTTGATTGACAGTAGCGTTTCAGCACAGACTGGACTGGTGTCTTACCTCAGACCCGCTCTGAGTGAGCTGTCATCAGTCCTCCATTGTTTCACCGCTGGAGCAGATGTAGACAAGA